CAACATAATTTTCAGAGAGACTTACAAGAAAAAACTACTTTTCTGTAGGCTATACTTTGGTTCAGTTCTTCCATTTCCACTGAGTCTTACATAATTTCATCCAGACATCCATAATCTTATGCATTTAAAATTTAACTTTCCTTTTTGCTGTGAAGCAAGCTTCAGAAGCTGCCAAACCTTTTGTATTTAGCTTTAACTTTTATTTACCTACAACTCATGCAGTGGACAAGGGATTTTCTCTACTGAAAGAATCAATGTTTCATTTAGATCTCACAGGATATCAACAGAAAAGACTATGTAACAGGAAGCTATAAGAATTTACCAAATAAACAACTGCATAATTTCATGCAGGTCTCCCAAATTTCTAAACTTAATTTCTTTGAAGTAATCAAATATGACTTTTCACACCACTATCCTTACACATTTTTCTTCTTAATTTCCTCTTTCCATACAACAGGTATATGACATAATTTAAGTATGTTCAAGCACCTTAAGTATTTTACCTGACACTCCTCCTCCATCCAAATCACTAGGGTATAAGCTTGAGAGAGAAGCACTTCTCATTCCAGAGTTTCGAGTTAATTGTTGGCCCCTTAATTGACCTATAGACTGTTCCAGTGTTTCTTTTAACTGCAGAGAAATTACAATTTACTGAAATACGAACACAAACCTGCTTTAGAAAAATGCACATAAAACATTATTTTTCAAAAAAGTCATTAAGCACATCAAAACTATTTTTAAGCCAAGTATAGCTATGACTAAGTAACAACTTTTCTTCAATATCTCATATATCATATTCCCATAACTGTAGCAAAACATGTTTCCAACATTGGCAGCTTCAAATATAACTCATTCCCAACTTGAGTTCAGAACTAACTATACTCCTAAATAAGTTCGTAATTTTTCAAACTTGCATCTTATTTTCTAAGATTGCATTTGCTGTACTTCGGTTCTTAGTCACTTGCTTTTGCAACACCTTTATTCGACAATCCTCAAAACATCATTATCTAAAAGTTCACTTTCCCTCTGCCTAATAGAAGCTTGTACACAGTGGTTAAATTGATGCTTTATTCTTGTGAATTATACACATGGTGTTGGATCTCTCTCTGGGCAGCAATTTTTTCCTAGAGCACAAAACACTAAATCTTTTCTGAATCTTTCAATGTTTGTTTAGGTTATTTTAAAAGTATTATGTTTTCATTATATGATATTATTAAAATTATTAAAACAGCTTCATTATCACTAAGAAACTCTCAAATCAAAAACTTTAAGGATTTTTTCAGTGCTTTCTCAAAAAGATGGAGGCTACTTAAGGGAAAAAGATACAACACTGCATGTATGTAATAAAAGATCATTTCTCTATTCAAAAAGCTAAAACTTAAAAAAAAAATCATAAAAATGCCAGAAGATCAAAGAAAGAACAGCAATAATGCCATTTTCAAATTTAACTCTGTCGAAGACTTAACTTACATCTTCAACAGGGCAATAAAAACTCTGGATTAATCTGTATGTGCTCAGTTTGCATGCTTTAGCTTTACACAACTCATTTTTATCATTTCTATATGAAACCAGATAGATTTATTTTTACTTTTTAAACACAGAACCATTACAGTGTCCAGAATTAACAACCTTACTCTTCAGTCTGCTTCTTTAGAAGAGAACAATGGCCAAAAAATTGTTTAAAAATTAAGTTATAATTTACATTATTTGAATAGAATATCCTTAATATCCACCAACCCGAATTCCATTTCTCAACATCTCATCTGTAAACTGTTTAAATCCCATCAAAATAGTGCCTAACGTTTCAGTCCTTTTCCATTTTTCCATCTTTTGTGGGTTTTTTTTTAATTTAAAGAGACAAATATCAATACCATCAGAAAAAATAAAATTAAAAAAACCACAACAGATCTCTCTCAAAGGCTAATTACTTTTAAACCTCTCCAAAGCCTCACATGAGCAAAAGAATACCAGAAAACCACCCCAAAAGATTCTCTCCTTCCTCCTCCCCACCCCAATACTCAGTATAACTGAGAGAACCTAAACACATCCTATTTGTTTATCTAAGAATATTTTGCTCCAATCTTGTTTAATATGGTAGAAATGCTTGTCCAGCTATCACTGTGAAAAACACTCCATCACCATCCAATTGAGATATTTATTCCAGTTTTTCTTAAATATTTATTGTAGAAGAAAAACATTTACTGTTGCTTCTTCCTACATACCAAATACATACATCTATTCGATGCAAGTGGAAACTTCTGCTTCAAAAAGGAGACAGGAACTCGGAGATATGTGCTATCTTTACTCATAAGACTGATTTCACTCTATTATTTAAAGCTCAAGCAGGAGATGGTTAGTCTCTAGGTTTCTCCTCCACTTGAGGTATAACCCAAAGCCACCTAGCAGGACTAAGTAGAATGGATATTAGGTCAAAATTAAATTTGAGTGATGTCTCACTCACCTTGATGTTTCCTAACAGAAAAAACTTTCCAGAATAACGACGTTGAACTACATTTAGTATCGGCATTTGTTAAAAACAGACAACCTTACATGGTTCCAATTCCCCCCAGAAATTCCACAAATTCAATACCTTAGTAGAGCTCATAAAGACACAAAGAATATTCAAACAGAAGAAAAAAATTATGAGGCATACAATGTCCCCAAATACTTCCATGCAAAGCTTGTGCATACTGATTTAGAAAGCAAGTTGAAGAAAACAAGCCTTCTTTTCTACATACTTGCTTTTTCTCTTTCTCTCTGCCCTCAAATTCAAAATATTCCTACACCTCATATGTATCTGTTTCAAGGCAGCACCTGCTGCAGTTTGTAACCAAGTTACAAATCTCTCTCACTCTACCAGCACTAATGTGTTTCTTTGTGGGCCTTCTCTGTCTAGATACCTGTTTTCAAAGTTGTAGAAGCTTGATATTTATCAGAATTTCACCTGCTCTGCAATTCAGAGAAAGCTGATAAACAGATTCAGAAGTTGTTGTAGAATGACAGGAAAAAAAACCTACACCAGTATGATCATAATCACATTCCCTGCTGCAATTCAGCTTTTATCTTACCATTTATTCATGAAACACGTTCCCTAATACTCTATTTCAGCTATGCACCTTGCACTTGGCATAGTATCATAATTTAACAATCTATTTGGTGCTTATAAACCGGAAAAGTAATGAAGCTACAAAACCTGCCAGAGCTTCATTATATAACATATTGCTATAGTTTGATTTAGATTGCTCAAATAAATATGAAAAGTTTCTGTTTACATCTACTTAACTCTGGATATATTCTGTCCATTACTACCAAGTTTTCAGCTATGAATACTATTAGCAGAAAAGATTTAAGAAGTTAAGATAACCTGAAAGTTGCTCACAGTTGCTATTGCTTCGGTTTGTTCCTTGTTGTATTCTCTGTATTGTCCTAGCAAGTGGTCAACATGTCTTAGATTTCTGTTGGTATCCTTAAAAAAAGTTTGAGGAAGAAAAGTCAAAACAGAAACCTCCTCTACTCAAACATTACTGTTGTCTTTATTAATCTTAGTTTATAAGAGTAAATTGATAACACAGGTGCTTTTTAAACGGTCTAAGCATTCAAAATCATATTCAAGAGTCTGAAGATGTACAGCATGGCTAAAGGCAAGGGAAAAAAAACCAAAACAATAACCACATACTATAATTTACAGTACAACATTAAGGTCTCAGCTTCAAACAAAAAGTTTTAGAAGTTTCAGACACTCTGTAGAAAAACCTTTTTAATCCAAAGATCTTAATGTTAGCTGCCTGTAGAACAGAATTAAGATAACTGAGAAATAAATTTTTGAAGATCAACACATTAGGTAAGGTATCTGCACAAGGTCTCTTCATGAGCATTCTCTGACTAAATGAAGAGCTGGATCAGATGTCAGATCTGCTGAAAAGCAGTCCACAAAAAGCAAATAGCTTAAAATCAGAATTCCAGAAGAGCAGCTAGAAAAAGGTTAGACAGAAACAGGACAATACCAGAGAGTCCCTTTTAAAAAATAGATTACATTCTTATTAACTCATCTCTTTTTTAGCTTGACGATTATTTTGCAGCTAAGAAGATGAAGTTTAAATTCAGCATTCTATACAGACAAAAAGAAAAATATTGACAGCCAAACAATACTTCAACACAAGTGATAATACATAAGCCCACCCACTCTTGGTACTCAGAACTGTCAGCTAGAGAAAAATGGCAATGATTTCTCAAAGAATAAGTGGTGTCCAGATAGCTGAATGTCTCCTCCCACTTGCAAAACAGATCCAGAGATTTCCTCCGCTGCCTGCACTGAAGAAGCAGGAATTAGATGAACATTTTTTCCTGCTTGGGGATGGATCTCTTACAAGTTTACAGATACTCTTCTCACTGAAAATATCTAGAAAATATTTTAATTGTAAACTCTGTCATGAGGGAATTGACTGCCTACATATTTACTTCATTAGGAATTGGGAAATTTCACACAGTACAAGACAACAAAGATGAGGCTGGAGCTTTCTGCTACAAAATGTAATGCCTCTTGTGAGAAACTGGCAAAGTTTATTTGGCATTATTCAGTTTGCTAACTTTATAAACAGTACTACCAAACACATAATTGTTTCTAAAAACATTCTATTACTGTTTGAAATAACACCTATATAAAAGTGTGACAAGTATGATCAATTTCCCAAAACCTTTTTGGCTTGCACAATGTTACCCATCAGTACAATATTTTCCACAACCTCAGAAAAGAAAATTTGACCCTGTTACAGAAATGCAGACTCTATAAATATTTGAAAATCATATTTTGTAAACAACCTGTAAAGTGCTTGCTAAAGTATGGATCTTCTCTGTAACTTCTTCAGCACCACAGTTCCAAGCTCTGTTGCGGGATGCTCTCAAAGGTGGCCGTCTTCCTATTCGATCCCTATGAAAGTTGTCTGAATCACTGGAAGAATCTGCCATTAGTATCCTGAATCCTAGGCAGGAAGATCAGAAAAAGTAATGAATGTTAAATCCTTATTGTAACTGAACAGCTTCTGACTTGCACAGTATTCCCAAAGCAACTTCATAGACTCAGACTACATTTACATTAGCCTTTCTGGTTCAGGTCAGCAGGATGTGCTTTTGAAGCAGATCTTCAAACCGCTCCTCAGTTATTATGTTTGTTCACACCATGAAGCAATGCCAAGATGCAAGAGGCAGAGCCCACTAGGAGAGAACTAAATCAAAAGATGCACTCCCACTACTTCTAAGTGTTCAGTACCCAGGATAAGACCAAAGCCCAAAGCAAATTCTTCCCCCAAAACATACAGTGGAGACACCAGGGCTTTATTAATTGTTCTTGCTCTGCAGAACCATTGCCCTTTGCCTCATTCTACTTGCTAAGCTATATTCAGATTGGCCAGGGGCAACCAAGACAAATAACCCCAAGTAACTAACTCTCTGAAGCAAGTCTAAGAACCAGGATCTTAATGACTCAAAGAGAGCTGGAGATATTATGGAAGAAGGCAAATGCAGTGTTTCAAAAAGAAGGGAAAGGAGAGAAAACTGGGGCCAGGAAGTTATAGACTAACCAGCTTAGTTTAAATGTGTGGAACAAATTAAAATATATTATTTTAAGTTTCCAGCAAAAGATCTGCTCAAAAAATAAAAAAGCAGCAAAGTATCTGTTGATATCCCTTTGGTCCTGTAAACAACACTAAAAAAGCCACAGTAATGGTGTCATTCTTCTAGCACTAGAGCAGAAGTTTCCCAAAGAAACCATGGATGAGATTCAATTCTTATACTGTATTTTATTTTAAGGCAACTTGATGTTTTTCCAGAGCCTTATACTTAATTTTTTAAAAGTTGTAAATTTGTGTCCCCCAGACTTTGATAGAAATCTTTCCTCCAAGCTTAACAAAGGTTTTCTGTTTCAAAGCATTTTGGGAAAAATATCTTTAGAATACCAAATAAAGGGGACACCCTATTAATGGCCATGCTAAGAAGTAAGCACAAGATCAGCCTTATTAGGGATCAGAAACTCAACCCTGAGACATTAATCCACAGGAATCATCTTCATCTACTCATGGACCTATGTATCAGCACATTTTGCCTGACTGTTATCATTCTTACAGTTGCCACACTTAATTTTAATAATCGCAGCGAATGGTTGATGCTCTGTATCTGGCATATATTACCTCAACTGGAAAGTCATAGTAAATGTTGTTTTGGCAACTTAGATTCTTCAGAACCCCATTCACACTTTCACAAGAAGCAAATTCTCTTTTCCTCCCAAACTGGGCAGAAGAGCATATGTTGTATTTACTCTGTATGAACAATACCGCACAGAAGCATCCCATGAGAGCTACAAAGCGTTATGCAATTTGTATAGCCTGTCTGCAAGTCAAACAGCTCCAAGTGAAAGATTAGGCTTAACTCTTAATTCCACCAGGTCACATTTCTTTCTAGAAGCAGAGAGCCCAAAATAACATCACTTATGACATTGTCAGTTTCACATTAGTGAAAGAGAGCTTTTTAAGGATACACCAGTAGACAGAGAAATTAAGAACAATGAGATACGTAACAACGTTCAAATGATAGTTTTAATTCATTTCCAGATGAAATCACATAAACCAGCAGAATTTCAGAGGTTAGTTATTGCATCTCAGGTAATGGGAGCTAAATTCTTAAAAATTTTTCATAGTCTTTTGAGAGTGGGTCTCTCAACATGGTCCTACACATAACCCTAGTTAGACAAGTATGGCAGCTTGCAATGTCAGAAAAGAGATAGGCACTGACAGAAAATAATGAAAAACAGCAAGTTGACTTATCTGCTGAAAATATCATTCTGAGAAGGATCTCAACTATAAGAGAACCAACTACTGAAAAGCTACGGCACTTGATAAAATAAAAGGGAAATGAAGACTTACAGCAGAAAAGATTAACGGGCATGTTTTCTGCTGTCCAAAAATAGAGTCATTAAGATACTTACTGGACAAAGCACTGAAGAAAGGCTAGTAAGCAAGGTAAACAAAAACGAAAAGCTAGACACAGTAGAACATTTTGTCTGAAGAATACTTTCTATTTATGGTTAAGTAGCATTCCGCTTTGCTCTCATGAGCAACCTAAGAGGAACCATAAGGACTTTTAAGTCAAAGAAGTTTTGTTTCATATGAAGCAACATCCTCATTTTTAAAGGATTTACAGAGGCATAATTTTAGATCTAAAAAAGTAGAAATTTGTACATATATTCTGTATGTACATTTGCATATTAATTTAAATGAAAAAAGCCTGTTGTTAATTTTTCCAAAAACCTAGACTGACTTCAGCATATGATCATACAGCCTAATTGACAGTGAGAATCATTTGTCTTCTACTGGTTTTCAGTCTACCCAAACAGATTATAACCTTTCTTGCACTGAGGAAAAACATCAACACCCAGTATTTTTCTTCCCTGAAGACAACAGGGCATTACAGTTTCACTGAAGACACTTGTTGAGATCTGCAAAGTAAACTAGCTGACAGTCTCAACAGCGAGTTCTCCAGCTCAAGTAAGCAAAAGATGAACTCAGTATTCACAACCTGATTACCTCTCAAGTGTTTTTATTTGTTCAGCTCCACACGGACCAACCTATCACCAGGTAACTAACTTCGTGCTAAAGGCATGTTTGAAGCCTTATAGTTAAGACAAAGCATGACAAAAAAATCCAGTAGCCATTCCAGGAAGCGACAACGTGACACCTGAACGGCCCTTTCCTTCAGTGCTTCTAGTAGAGCCAGGAAGTGTTCAAAAAGCCAGGAATGTCACCAACACGGTGACATTTCACCCTCCTGCTTTCACCACCAGCACTACATTTCACTGCCGACCTGCGACACCAGGTTCCCAGCACTTTTCAGCACCACGACACAGAAAACGGTTCCCTCACGCTGTTCACAAGTAAGCGCACGGCCCTTTCCTTCAGTGCTTCTAGTAGAGCCAGGAAGTGTTCAAAAAGCCAGGAATGTCACCAACACGGTGACATTTCACCCTCCTGCTTTCACCACCAGCACTACATTTCACTGCCGACCTGCGACACCAGGTTCCCAGCACTTTTCAGCACCACGACACAGAAAACGGTCCCCTCACGCTGTTCACAAGTAAGCGCAACTAATCCCCTCCGCAAATCCTCCTCCCGCCGTGCTCGTATCGAGCTTTACTCCCCCTCATCTCCGAGGGCCTCCGGGATCTTTTCCCCCGGCCAGGACCCAAAGAGCCCCGGGGGCAGCGGGACAGCCCGAGAACTGCGCCGGGCACGCCGACGGCCGGGCCTCCGCCGGGCCC